TGTGGTTGTCTGGATCGTGGCTTCTCCGCTCAACCCCTTGGACGCTTGAGTTCCCAGAGGGCAAACGTGGGGGATGCTTCCCCGTGACCGTGCGAAGTGGGAAGGTGCCTGCTGGCACCCAGATCTCGGGTTCCCTAAAAAGGCGGCTGTCGCTTCCTGTTGAATCTGCCCAGGCTTCTAACGTGACTCAGCCTTGTGCTTTACTAAGAAATGTGCAAAATGCTGCTCATCCCATGACAAAACGCCCTTATGAAAAATTGAGTGTTTCTGTCTTCTTTCCCCCACCCCGCTTCTAGCCAGTTAGCAAAGGAGTTGCCTGGGTATAGGTTAAAGCAGGGGCGGGCAATTATTTTGGGCAGAGGGCAGCTTACTGAGTTTTGGCAAGCCATTGAGGGCTGCATGACTGGCAGCCCAGGGCAGATTCATATCAATTTTCTAAATTTTTTAGCGGCCCCGCGGGCTGGATAGAATGGCCTGGCAGGCCACATCCGGCCTCCGGGCCGCATTTTGCCCACCCCTGGGTTAGAGGCTGAGAGAAACCAAATTCTGTTCGCTCCTTTAAAAATACAGTAAGCGTAAGAAATCCCAACTCTTTACTCAAAAGGCTCCTTGCTTCCTCTGCTCGTTTTAACTCAGGTGCCTTCTTGCTTTATAAAAAGGACAATATCAGGCTGAAAAAAGGTGTGTTGTGGGGATGCAGCCATTTTTTTTTTTTTTCTGGCTCGACCGCGTTAACTTGCCAGGGCTTTTTCAAAACCAGTGTTGCAAAATCGTACCTGCCAGGGGCAGGCAGCTTCTCTTTTTGCTCTTTGCTGGGAGGCGAGCGGATCTCCTGAGTTGTGGGGAATTTTTTCCTCCTCCCTTTGTAAAGGTGGGCGCGTTGGGTCTGCCCAGCCTTGCGAATTCCTCCGACAATTTTGCAAGGCTGATTTAATAAGCATTGTAGTGATCAGTAGGAGGGGAGGGCGGCTGGGCTCCTGGGAAGTAGCCTTGCTCTCTGTAACTGTGGTGTACCACAGCTGCAGGGGTGGAGCTAAAATGTAATATTACGACTCTCTCTCCCGGCTTCTGCATTTTTATGAGAACTCTGACCTACATTTCAGGCAGGGTCATAATAAAACAATCCATATGTTAATAGGTGCCCCCAGTCAGCCGCTGCAACCCGTGTTTAATTTGTGCATTTATATTTTGCGACTTGATTTAAAACTGTATCTGTTACTAGGTTCATGGTATAGACACAGGTCTCCTTTCTTATAATAGGTTGGGGATTTTTTTTTAATGTCGACACTGTAATAAGAACATTGCTTTGGATAATTTTGAAGTGTTAAGTGATACATAGCAGCAAATTATCTTTCTACGCCTCTTCTGACAAGCAAGCCCTGCAGTTCTCAGTTAGTAGTTGAATTATTTTCACAGTTGAATTTCTGTGATTAAAAACTTTGTGAATCTTCATTAAATACAAATTAGCCAGAAAATGGTGGTACTTAGAGGGAATTTTAGGTGATAAAATACAAAAGAATGAGTTCAAGTGGCGTGAGTTTGTTTTAATTAAGAAATGAATTAATCACCCTGACTTACTGGGCTTCACTGTTCTACAGATTCAACAAATTCAAGTGACAACATCTACACAATGATTAATCCAGTACCGCCTGCAGGCAGTCGATCGAATGTAAGTCTGCTTTCTAATAATTTACATATCAGATACCATAACAAATCATAATTAACTTCATCAGTTGAGGGTAAAGCAGTTTAATTGATTTCAGCCATTTGTTACAAAATAGAAATAAAACAAACCATCAAAAAGTGATTAACTCTTCAGCGACTTTGTTAATTTTTTATGCTTATTAAAATGATGGCATTCACGCAGCTCTGGTCAAGATCATGTCAGCGGCGCATTCAGCTTGCAAGTCGTATTTAAAGGGATGCAGCCAGCCTCAAATCTTGTCCTTTCCAAAAATGAGGTGAAAATTATTCCAGGTGTTGCCCTTCTGCATCTGGTTTCCCCTCTCTCGCCATGATTTGGGAAGGGTTTTGTCATCACATGCAAGTCTTAATTTTCACCCCTCTCCTTTGCCTAGGGTGTATATAACAATAAAAGCCTACATGAAAAGAAAAAGTGACTTCAGAGTAGACTAGCAAAGCTGAGTAGACCCCCTGCATACAGTGAGATGCTCAGGAGAGTAGAAAGGCACAACTCCCAGTGCATTTCACTTGGGTTTCATCTCTGTGTTGTTGGCACTACCAGCCCTCGTCAGCAAATTGGTGGTGAAATAACGGGGAGCTTTCTTAGGGTGGTGTGTAATACAGGTGACAGTGATCAGGTTTGGGGGGAGGGAAGGGAGTGTTAAGATGATTGGACCCTAAAACTTCATTCTGTGCTCCCCTTAGCATATAGTTTAAGATGTGAATGTTTTGGTCTCGAACTTCTGGTCAAGTGATGTAAGAACAGAAGGTTCCTACATCACTTTTAGTCAGCCGGCCTTCCTTGTTCAGAGGCAAAGAAACAAGGTGGTGGAGGAAAGACGCTCATCCCTTCCTGGTGTGGATGTACCCACTCTACCGGGTGCTTTCCAGGCTTTCAAGGAAGATGGGCTCAGATCTCGCACGTAATTCAATCTGCTTCCCTTGTAATACTCTGGGATTGTACAGTGCAGAGCCTGAGTTTGGCACCTGAGCGCCAGTGGCTGTGGTGGCTGGATAAGTCATTTAAGGACCGTTAATCCTGTTGTAAGCCTAGGAAAATTGAAGTAAAGGCACAGGAACATTTACGTCCGTTCCTTTTTTTTTTAATGTGCCCAAGTGTGGGTCTGCCTCAGAGTGACTGCTGCAAACAAAACCAGTGCAGTTTGGTGCTTGGGAAGAGGAGCCATTGGCATTGTCCTCTAGGAGCCATGGGGTGCGCCTCCATCCGAACCTCCGCCCTCTGAATTTTCCAGGGTCATGTCCATACCACCTGCATGTCTGCATGAGCTGCACTGCTTTGCACATACTTCCTCCACACCAAAAGCAAATACGCCCAAGCTAATCAGCCCACCTGCCATGCAGGGAGGTAGCATGGGAAGTAGTTCAGGTAGGATTTGAGAGGTAGTGCATGGAGCAGCACGGTGTTACTTGGCACACCAAGTGGTGTAGACAAGCCCTAGGTCTCTGGGCCCCTTTTGAGCAGAGGAAGCCAGTTGGCCTGAACTCTGGAGCACGGCTAGTTGGCTTCAACAGAGATTTTTTTCCATGAAGAATGGCAGAGCCAGCTTAGCTGGTCTCCTTCTGGGCCAGGAGCTCTACACACGTAACATGCTCAGCCCTAGGGCAGCCTCCTCAGACAGCTCAAGAGCAACTGCCGTGGATGATTTCAGGAGCTAAATGCAGATATCCCACCAGGAGGCCCCACAGACAGCGCTGGCGGGCACCCTGCAGGGTGCTCGGTGGTGGTGAAGGCAGTACTGAAGCTTCAATTAGTTTGTTGGTCATGAGTGGAGGACAGGGGGGAGCTGGGAGGTTGTGTAAGGAGATGGAGCATGGCTGAATTTTGCAGTTGCTAGTTCAAACCTGCTGCCATAGGGGCACCTTGCGGTGTAAATTTGGGCCCCGGTCAGGTTTCAGGGGCTTATGGCCTGCACAGGTTTTGGAGTCCATTCTGGTGACCACCAGAGCCTGTCACAAGTATGTGGGCATCAAAGGGAGGAAGCCACTTGGGACAGGGCTCAGCACGTCATTGCATGCAGGTGATGACGATGGCACCATGCTTATAGTGACTGGCACGCTTGGATTTGCTGGGGGGCAGCATTCATGCCCCATAAACTATAAACTCCACTTCATGGCTGTGAGGAAGTGCAGTTGTTTGGGTGGCAGCCGTAGTGCAGCAGGGACTGTAGCTCCTGAATTGCCAGGATGCTGTGCATGGGCCTGTGGCAGTGGTAGGGTGCTGGGGGCTGATGACCATACCAGGACATCACACTGCTGCTCTAGCAGGGGCAGATTCTCTGCTGGTGCAGCAGGAGAGCCTGAGTGGTAACACCTCTCTTGCAAAGGAGCAGAGAGCTTGTTACCATGTGCACTCAGAGGACAGCACAGTCCCCCAGCACCTCCTGTTTGCAGTGCCTTTGAGCAGTACATCAGCTTGTTACCAAGCTGGGAGGGGAGGTACAAATGAATCCTCTTCTAGCCAAGTGAGGAGAGGTGGTTATCCCAGTACTGATGCAGTGAAGAAATCCCTGTTTCTGAGTGGGGAGCTGTCTTGACTCATCCAGTTACCAGCACTCATTCTTGGCTGACTAGTGGTTTGCCCACTGTTGCAAAATTTAGCATAAAGCAGGGGCATTCCCCATGTAGGAACACACTCAGCACACGCAGGTGTCCACGATTGCTGTGCCTGGTGCTTTCCCCATGTAGACAAGCAAGTACTTAGGTGCTGTGTGACAGAATTGCCATCAGTTTGTAGCTACCCTATAGTGGAGGTGGGGGCAGGGGGGCACATACACTGCTGAGGGACAAGAACAAAGCCAGCTATACACTGAAGCTCCACTGTGAGTAAGACTTGGCCAATGGTTACGTGGATTTAACAGAGTCCTGAAAATACCCAAGGGCTGATGCAAGTTGGGACACGGTTAATAGTGGAAGTTGCAGTGTGCTAAGTCAGCCCCAGCCCCCGTTCTGGGTGGAGGGTGCTGGCCATGATCTCTGTTGCATATTATAGGGGCAGAGCCAAATACTTTCTGTGATTTCCCTGAGGCCAAGAAGTTTTGGAGGGAGGTGACTTCCCTGCCAGAGGCAAAACATGTAACACTTCCATGTGCAGGCACGACTTGAACCATCCACTTGCAGGACAGTGTCTGGTGTCTGTCCTGATGCTGCGGCCACCAGCTCACAAGCTAGTGTGCATGGTACTGAGGGGAACAATGGGGGCTTATTCTTCTGGTTGCTTATTTTCTCAGTTCCCAATGGGACCTGGTTCTGACGGCCCGATGGGAGGCATGGGCGGGATGGAGCCACATCACATGAATGGATCGCTAGGTAAGTACTCACCAGGCTTGGGGGGTGGGGGGTGTAGATGCACACCAGACCTGACCCCCCACAGTGTCCCCTGTGACCTGCCATTCAGGGTCAGGCTGAGTACAGATGCTGCTGCTGTTTGGTGCTTCCTGCTTTTCTCCTTACATGAGGGTCAGTGGCTTTGGAGACCTGTGCGCTGAGCTGTCAGGGCTCTGGGAATGATGTTCTTCCCTGTCCCTACAGCCCACAAAGCCGCACTTTGTGGTAACCAGCCTTGTTACCACCCCCTCCCTCAAGCCATGCACCCGGGCCCACCTCTTCCTCACCCATGTGGAGCACTGGCTGCCACAGGCTCGCTTGAGCAGTTGTGATAGATGCAGAAAGGAGGAGCAGCTTCAACCTCAGTGCTGCATGTCTAATTGAAAGCAGCAGATCAGCTCATTAACCTCTGCTGGGCTCGTGCACAGTGCCGAGCTGTGCTGCTGCTCAATCGATGTTACAGAGGGCTGTGGGGAGCAGCAAGGCCCCTGCAGCTGAACTTTGTCATTGTGATGGTGCCATTCAGGAGCCATGCCAGGGCCGTACCACCCGTGCTGCACAGCCCTGCCAGGTGACCCCTTTTACCAGAGGCAGATGTCAAGCAGGGCGCTCTCACCTCAGCTGTGACCTGCACCTCCCTGGCTGCTGCTAGTAAGGCCCTGGGATAGCAGCTTCCAGCCACGGGCTGCCTCTGCCCAGGCTCAGCAGGCTCCAGCATCAAATGGACTCACTGAGGGGTGCGGGGGGACCATGCTGAATAGGAACAAGGAATGCAGCTAAGTTTTTAGTAAGATTTCTCTCTTTTTTCCTTTCTTTGATACAGGGTCAGGTGACATAGATGGACTTCCAAAAGTGAGTGTTGTCTTGTGGCCATAAAGCTGTGGATCATTCTAGCATTCTTTCTTGTAAACAAAGCATCAGCAATAAGAGTGTGCGAGTGCATGCGGGTGTGTGCTTGGACGCACAGGTTGCACTAGTGCAATATAAAAGGACATCGAGGAGCTCTCCCCCATGCTGTAGCCCTCACTCGTAGGCATTCACTTCAGCAGAAGCAATGCTTTAATAACCACTGTCCTACCCCTCCGCTGTTGGTTGCTAGCAAAGCGCTCGGCCAGTCCGTACTCAGTAACGTGCCTCCTTGTCTCCTGTCTCCTTTAGAATTCTCCAAACAACATAAGTGGCATTAGCAATCCCCCGGGCACTCCAAGAGATGATGGCGAACTGGGAGGCAACTTCCTCCATTCCTTCCAAAATGACAATGTGAGTCGCTCTCCTTCCAGGACTCCAAGCCTTCTCGGTGTGGAGTTTTGGCGCGTTCTGTAGGGCCACTTCCTCTCTGCTTCCTTGCGGGGGGAGCTGGGGGAGGGGCGTGCTTTGAACAGCCAATGTTCGAGCAAGCCTGATGCTTAACCCTTGTCCAAGCAACTTGTCCTGAATGCCTAAGCTCTGACTCTTGACTTCACTGTCTGACCTTGGTGGGTCACTTGGTCCCTGTGCCTTACTGATTCCCTATCCAGGCCAAAGGCAAAGCAGGTGGTGTGATGCTTCCTGCTCACTGCTTGCTGTGCATCTGGAAATCTGCAGAGGGAGATGAGCCATGAAGCTCATAGTCTTAAGCAAAGACAAAGGCCGTGTGTAGACGAAACGAGGGGCACGTGTGCACGTGACTGCCCGAGCCAGGTGCCTGTGGGTGGGTGCTGCCTGGGGGGCGTGCCGCTGCTGCGGAGGGAAGCACCAGCCCCCCCTGCACCAGCCCAGGACCGCTCCGCCTGCTGGCAGCTCACCTCCCCTCCCCTTCCCACTGCCGGAGAGGCAGGTAAGTGAACGGGTGTGCGTGACAGTGGGGTTTACTTTGCCCCTAATTGAAGCGGTGTTTTTAAAAATCCACGGCTTCAATTGAGGGCCCCTGTTTCGTCTGCACACACCCGAAGTGGCCATAGCTGGGCGTAAGAGAGAAGAGGAGGGGAAGGGTAGCGTGAGAGCAGTCCAGCTGGTGGTGTTGGCCAGTTTGGTACTGTAAACCGATGAACCCAGTGATCCCTGCTGGCCACGTGCCTGCCTCTGGCATAGTTGACCTGAGAGACTTAGCTGTATGCAGGCCTCCTGCATGCAGGTGGGCCACAGCCAAGACCTGCTCCCTCTGCTTGTCCAAGTCCGGGACCCCCTGTTGAGGCTCTGGAGCAAGTCAGCTGGGGCCTGCAGCACTCCCAGGCGGCGCCTGTGCAGACCCAGCCAGTCGGACTCTGATCAAACACGCCCTGGTATCTTTGAGACCAGGAGACTAATATCCATGCTGGATTTGAAGTTCTGTGTACAGCTGCCAGAGGCTCCCGTGTTTTCACTGTATTAGCATTAGATACATGCATGCATTTTAATTTTTTTTTAAATTGCTTCCTACCCCATACCGGGTGGGTTATTTTCTCCCTGGAAAGACAGTTACGGAGCGGATTATGCTCTGATAAATTAGAGTCTCTAGCATATTCTGTGTCTCTGATTTATTAGATCCAATTATGTTGCTTTATCGTTTTCATAAGCCCAAGTCTTACTTTTATATCCTCTCTTCCCTTAGTTTAGCAGCACTTAGTATTTCAGCCTGTCGTACCCCGTTCTCACTCTGCGTTTGTCTCTCTTTTCAGTATTCCCCCAGCATGACGATGAGTGTGTGATTTTTTTCCCCCCTCCTCCTCTCCAGGATAAAGAGAGTCAGCTGCCATTTGGAGGAACTAAAAGAAATTATGCAAGAAGAAGCTAGGTGTATTGGCAGGGAGACGTGAGGGGGCCCAGACCCCAGTTTTAGTTTCATGCAATAAAAAGGCTGAACTTTTTATTCCATAAAACATGAAGGACAAAACTTAAAAATATTTCAAGACATGACAAGATCCTTCTTGTGCGGAAGGGTTTATATATGTACATGACACTTTTTTTTGGAAACAAATGGAAGCCTCTAGCACCCGACTCCAGTCTCTTTGCTTTGTTCTTTTAAGGAAAAAAAAAAAAACCCCTGTTGTATGTTTGTGCTGTGCGACGCCAGGAAAGCTAGTCTAGATATGAAATCTCATGTTGTCTCTGTTGTAGTCATATTTTTTTAAAAATAAACTGGACAGTTTACAATTGGGGGGGGGTTGTTGGGAAGGCCTAGGGTTTGGTTTGGGTTTTTTTTTCTTTTTCTTTTTGGGTTTTTTTTCCTTCTTATTTTTGTTTGCAGCACGACAGTTCCTCCTCCAGTAACCAGACCTGCTTGTGGAAGAGACTCCACTACTACGTAGAAAGTTGTTAATGCAGTTGGCCCTTCATAGGATCACATCCTCGAATGAATAGTGATCTTACTTTCTGCAGTTACTGGCATGCACTGTACTAGTCTTTTCCCACCCCCCTCATGGCATAGGAGTGCTCCTTATGTCCATTCCCCCCACCCCCTTGACAGTCTTTGAGTGGGGATTTGTTTCCACCAAAAGAGAGAGGAGAAAGAAAGGGTTAATCTGACCTGGGACTTTGAAACTGTGATCTCAAGCTAATGTCTTTGTTGGGTTTCCTTTTTGTTTTGTTTTTTTGGTTTGTTTGTTTTTTTTTAATTTTTACTTTTAATTTTGGGGGGGTTTTTTAAAGGAAAAAAAAGATGTGATCTTATCAGGGTTTCACTGTATATGCTTTGGAACTGGATGGAGATACTTTTTAAGTAATTATTGTTGTTAAAATGTATACTTGCTATTCTGTAGGCTCACTCTGTAATAAAAAAATAAACAAAAATTGAAAAAAAAAATTAAACTTTACCTTCCTTCTCATGGTAGAGGTGACTACAGAACAGTAACAAGCGAACCATGTAAAGTGACACTCTCCAGAACTTCGGGATCTATGTACATTACACTACCCTGTAGTTGGTCTTTGTTTTATAAATCTCCATTTCTGATCCATGTATATCATATTATGTAAAATATTATCTCCCTGGATTTACCTTTGTGCGGATTATTGAAAACATTGTATCTTGTTTCAGTGTTTTTTCTTACCTTGTAGTCTGGTTCTAAAATAAGAGAGGGAAAAAAGTAATTATTATACATTGTAGTTTGTGTACGATATTTGTTGATAATGTTTTATTAAAGGGATGTCTTTTTTCCGCACCCCTTCATTTGAGATGTTTTTGGGGGAACATTGGCTCGTTTTTATTATTCTGACTGCAAGACATGAGATGACAGACTTTTTTTAGCGTGTAATATGAATTTTTTTAAATGTTTGCCTTCTTTTTCCTAGGCATTTTAATTGTGCTTTACCTGTAGAAAGTTGCTGGGTGGATCGGGGCATGAGGGTGGGGGGAGGGGGGGGGG